CAGAAAGTAGGATAATATTCTATTCCTGAATTATCCATTAGTTTAAAATTTTTGCATAAATATATCACAAATGTTAATAGTAGTGGTTTGAATTAAAAGATAATTTTAATTGGAAAGCAGGGATACGTAGGAATTTAATCTTCTCGCTGACATTAATTACATTCGTGGCGCTTAATTTCTATCATGCTCGTTACATAAATTTCCAGCTGTCACCGTTTTATTGGAAAGAAAGCTATGCAATAAAGTAGACCAAATTTGTTAAAAACAGTATAAAATTTATTTTGCAGTAATTATTACTATTTTATTTCGCATCATTTTGCGTTTTTGAATGCGCAGTCTAATTTAATGTCATTTTATTTTTATATAATTACATTCTCATTCTCACTTATTTCTCTCTTTTTCTCTCTCTTATCTCTTTGAGATAATAGACTTTTTTTAAATTTTGCATATAAATTGTATAATGTCGATAGAGTCAAATATAAACATAAATTTCAAACCGCATACTGTGCGTTTACATTTAATGGGAACTTAAGTTTGCGTTCCATTTGAACGGAGTTTCCTGTGAGCGATTAGTACAAAACGGAGCGTGGATTATTAATTGACATCGAAATGGCAGATTCGCTCGATTTAGCATCGACGAAATTTCACGCTTGCATGGCTTTCACATAGAAACACGATCCTTCAATCCAGTGTTATATCTGCCGCGCTTCGAAGCTAACAACGTTAATGGACGTTAAGCGTAATGGAGAGCTAATTATAACGACGTACTGGGTTATATTTTTCTGTCGTTCCAGCACACGGTCGAGGTTATATCGAAACGATACCATAAACTTGCAACATAACGGGCATACCACGTTCAAGTTAAGCACCGTACAGTGCGCCGCAGCTGTCAGTACTCATCGAATACGGCACAGCCGTATGGTGCGCGTTACATGCTTTTCCCCGTTTTTCTCTTTTCCATTTATTTATCTTTAACAAGGCTCAGCGATTTTTGGTTTCACCTTGTGCCGTATACGTTTCCGCGCTTTTTGCATGTCCCGCATTTTAACCGATCCGCAGCGTCAATAACGCGAAGCTCTTGGAAAACATCCAACTCGCTCGGCTGGATACCACTCGCCCGTTAATTCCAATTTATAGTTTACCGCATAAAACCGTATAAATATATGCGGGCTCTTAAGTCGCAGCGTGCCCGTGGCTTGGACGGGTCTTTTATGGAAAATTTGTCTGCTTTTCATGGAACGTTGTTCGCAGCTCGCGATTTCTGATCTCTCGCGATTGTTACTTGATCAATTATCCCTTTCTCCTCTCAGCAGCTGGTGTAACAATAGTGTCATTGTGATGGATTAACGATGATATACGAGGTCAGTGTTGTTATTACTCGCCGCACCGCAATAACCCGCACTCATTGGATATCACTGTCATCCAGGGCGGCTCGTCTCCGGTCTAGCATTTTTGTAATCCAAATTCAATAAAAATGCAGTTATTGTGATAGGCACTCACTTTTTCTCCAGTGTTCTCGTTTATTGACACTTGTGTCAGTAGAGAATCAATTCGCCTCGCGTTATCATTCATGCAATGCTATTCTACGAATGTGCGTCGGATATTGTATACATTGGCATTGTTTAATAAGAGATGAGCTTTCCGCACGGTGGGATTCTTTCAATTTTGATCAGGATGGATATTGTTCGGTCGCATCGTAAAAATGGCAATCGAACCGTAAGGAAAAGCAGTTTATTTAAATTTGATGAACAGTTCAATAGTCTCGTTATTTTTACAGAAGTATGCTGTTGCACAAGGCATATTAAAATAAGTTATACAATTATTTTGAACGGAATATCTATATACTTAGGATATAAGTATATTTTTGTGCATCTATTTATGTATCAAATTTTAGAGTAAGTACAAAGTAGTAAATCAACTTTTTTACCCATTGACTTGCATATACATTTTTCGTGTCACTAACAAAGTTTTGACATCCTGCAGATAATTAACAGATGCTCATATATTATTACGGCAATCCATTAAGATTAAACATACGGTATTACCTGCGATAAATCATTATAAATCTTTTGTTTTGCTACGATTCGAAAAAACTGATGTCACATTTGTTTTTCGCACATGGACTATCTCTCGAGCTTGCGAACATATAAAGCACAGTGCGTTTTATATAAATGATTGTGTGTGAAATAATCCTGTTTTACAGCTGCAATGTATGAGAAGTTTTTGTCTCGAGTATCACGTAGTGCTGTCGGGAACGTTAACTATGAGAAAGATGGGGGTATGGTGTTAATGGGATGGAAGTTATCAGCGATATTATTGCACGCCTTGGCATCTTCATCGTGTAGCTCGTTGTCGCGCGCTCTCGATAATGGACGCGCAATACGACGCATAGTATGCGTCGTAGTGCATAATTTACGCGCAAGCCACGACCATATTCGGTTAGATGCCTTTCTGTAGGTCGGGCATGCTCGTGGATAACCCTTCAGGAATTTCTAATCGAAGCTGCTCGTCGTGATACACTTGGCGTGAATTCACAAGCATCGGATCTATCGCGCTTGGCAATTATAATTATTAATGTGAAGCTAGAAGCTATGTAGATGCTGAAGTGTTGTCAGTACGCCGTTTGCGCTTTTCACATTGGATTTGATTTTACAAAATTTTTTTGATCTCCAATCGCTTATATTTCAAAAATTAATTAGACGTAAAATAAAAATAATATTATTTTTAGTTTAATTACTATTGGTAACAATGGTAATGTAAAGCCTATATATTTATGTTTAATGTAACATTTTCACAAATTTTAACGCAAAATCTGAGACAATTTGTATTTCAATATTTAAACTTTTAAATTTGGACATTAGGGATTTTTGTGTTAACTATATCGTTTCGTGTTAGGAACTTCAATGATACGGTATATCAATAATAGATGCGACTTTCTATTGAAGTTTATTGTCGTTTCACAAGGTAGAAATCGGCTTGTCGAATAAGCTTTGTTTATTGTCAAAGTCCTCGGAGTATCCTCAGTTAAGTTTAGGATGAATAACTGTTATTCCACTCACGTAATTTGTATTTTGAGTTCAAGGTTGAAGTTTTGTTGCAAACCCTATTTGCAGATCATAGACCAAGTTCTAGTGTTTCGTACGCAATCGCGTCCATCCGGATGTTTCCACCCGGATCCGCTCGTTTAACTTGCTGGATCCCGTTGACCAGGGCAATTCGACATGACACTCACGAGAACTATGTCTCCCTTGAGAATGATAAGGCAAACTATAAACAGTGAACGTCAATGTGCAAAGCCGATGCCGGATATGGTGACCCCATGCGTGGAGCGTTGCCCGGATAACGCCGAATAACTATACACGCGTGAATACGCACGTTAGTCGCGTCAGCAATTAAGGTAATGGCCGTGTAATCGTTGCGGTCGATTTATAGAAGGAATTTTCGATCCGTGTCGCGCGCGACGTGTGCCTCGTTCACGTTATGCCGAAAATTGTCGAATATCTCGCGCGCGTGCGTCTAATTTAACTTACATTAATTATATGCAGCTGAATTAATTGTTACTATTCAGACGATTGTGTTATTGCGGCGTCGCACGCACTTTTGATCAACGTGCATTAAATTGCATCTAGTAAATTGTAATTATTTTATAGTTCATTTACTATAATACTCTCTCTATAATAGCGTGAGAATTATTGATGCCTAGTAATACCGATGTAGAATTGCGTTGCACACGTGCGACATATATCTAGATAGAGTCGCCGGATATATATATATGTATATACATAGTATATAGCGCTGCACAGGTATACGAGAATACATATATACATTAATACGAACAATTAACGTAATCGGTCTTTATGGCCGTATCGCAGAGAGGTTTCTTAATTGCACAATTCCATAAAAAAAATTTATCGTTTCATAGTATTATGATTACCAGCATTATTGATCACGATACTTTAGCATATGCAAATGTCCCATGATGGGAAATGATATTAAAAATGGCAAAAAAAAAAAACGCAATTGTATCTCAGAGTAATTAATTACACTTAGCCTTCCGTGTTGTTACCATTCTTGTCGTGCATTAATCTAAGTACACTGATATTAATCAGTTGAAACGTCGATGTAGTTGACCGTTGCGTGTGGTAATCGAAATGTTACATTGAGTAATTAGCGGCAGGCTCAGGTATAATCAATCAAGCGTCGTCCGCGAACGAGCGGCGTTGCATAAATACGTGAACGAAATGATTGCGAACACGTTCGTACATATTTACGTACGCATGTACATATACGTATATATTTATATGCACGCATACGTGTTTTGGGTATGCATAATATTCCCATCGCGTATACATTAATGTTGCCAGTACCTAAACGCGTTCATAAAATCAACAATTCGGATAATAACGCGCGAGAGAGCTCGCTGCAACTGACTTGGGAAAGGAGCGTTTGTTAATTGCGAATGACTATTCATCCGTTTATCTTGATTTGCGAGACGTATTTGAACATCGCTTGAGGGAGAATTACGCGCCCGTCCGAGAAAATGCGACCGTGGACATCTAGCCGTATTTATTTTTGGTGCGCTCGCATTTTGCAAATTTGCAAGTCATAATGTGCTAATTCCGCATCGCGAGTTTTAACAAGATTTGTCGGCGTAACTTCGTTACGTCGGACGCCCTTCTTTATTATCCTACCGTTTGTACCGACACATTTTTATTCGTCGTTTCCACCGGCTGTAGAAATTCGCTCCACTCCAAACGACAATTTGCGAGTCGCGTGCGGGTGGGTAACTGATTAGTCGCTTTCGCATTGATTATCAAGCATAAACTGGCATACGAAATTTCGATCACGTAGATACGCATCTGTATTCATCCAGCCGTTCGCACATATACGCGCATTAGCGGCCTCTACGAAACTTCAGACAATACACGATGCGTAAATGTCGCCGCGTGTCCCGAGTGGGCAAAGCCGAGTGTTAATGGAATACTTTACGCTTTACTCACTGCATGCTGGACATTGTGGAACTTTCTAGGATGTTCCTCAATGGTACGTGGCGAAATGTAACACTTCATTCCATTTAACTGCAACAAAAAAGCATGGACAATTAGCGCGAAGTTGGAAACATAGAAAAATTAATATCGAAGTGAAGATATCTAGGGTACGACGTTCCATTTAGCGTTCGCAACGCTCTTAGAATCATTTCACCCTTGTCCTTTAGCAAATGTTAAACTCACGAGCGTTATTACAAGCGCCAAATAGAAAGTACTCTTAATTATACATTTGACGTCTGTAAAGACGAGAGAGAGAGAGAGATAGAGAGGCTACATTGTAAATCTATTTATATCCAGCCGTTAATTCGCTGGAGAAAGAACCACTTTTCATTCGATATAAATCAACGTCGCTCGTACCAACTTTCAAGATCCTTCCAGCAAAAATTATTGGCAGGCGAAAGCTGTGTGTATCCCCTTTGCGCCGATATGTGGCTACGTATATATACATATATACTATGTGCGGCTACGTATATATACAGACCGTCCGATATATCTTGCTGTTAAGCTAGGACGCGCTTGACGTCACGATGAGAGGCCCTGTCAAGATTGAATGTAGAGAGAACTTTTAGATCACCTTTAAGGTAATTTGCTAGGCCGAAATGTTTTTGAATTTTCTCAAGCAATTGCCACTATCTTTGTTACGACGAGTATTATTGTGTAGTATTACTGTGTCTCTCGACTCACCTTAACACTAACAAAATATTTGCTAATTTTAAATAGCAAGATTGGCGCGTATAGTGATGGGTTGTTAAAACAGCTGCACGTCGTACTTGATAGCAACTATGTTAAGCCAAAAGCACCGTTTTCAGCAGCACCTATCTAGCTTCCGTGAACTTTAACCTGCCATGTTGACGGAGAAGCGTAAACTTATTACGGCACTCTCTGATGGACCACTTTTAGAGCGCAGGGCTGAGTAGCCGTGGTACTCTCGCAGCGTGTTACGTAGATGGATTCACCGAAAGACGGTGGATTTGCTCGTGTATCATAATCATCATTAATTTCATTGTCATGAGATCACGTACGTGGATTCATCAACGCGCGTCTTGCATTGTCGTATTTCACGTGGGATTTGTTAAACCGATCTTAACGCGATACTTTAATTATCGCATTACCGTAATTATTGAAAGAGACATTAAATATATGTCTACACCGTGTTTCGTTAAATCTGCAATTTCATAAAATAACTTTATCATTTATAAAAGATATGATTAGTGTTGATCTTTATCGTAATATGATCGATTCTCTACATATCGCAATCCTCTTATTATCTTCTTTAATGCCAATAAATTGGAGCATTTGTCTGGAAGCTTTAAAATCGCGGGATAAAAGAATTAGACTTTGAACAAAGTTATTGGATGTTCTTGCGAAGGTAATCCTTACGCTGCTTGGATTGCTCGTCTGTTTTAGTATGATTTAAATGCATGTACTTTATGGTGGAAACTTTAACAAAGGAATACAGTGTCCCTTTGTTGCATTTATTCGATTTTATTTCAAAGACGACATTATTTCTCAAATATATACGTTGTGTTGCATTTTACTCGTATGTTTTTACACAAATGAGTTATAATGTATTATTATAAAATTGTTGTCACGCACAGAAGGTAGATCTTTTCGAAGTTATTAAACCGTTAATTGTTTTCATGTTTTTACAAAGTATTTTCGTTTAACTATAGAAATAAGATCCGTAATAATATGTCGAAGTTTGTGAATATGGAACAATTACGAGATGTTTTCTTGGGTATTTTTTCTAGAGATATGGACGTAATTTATATATGTGGGTTTTAATTAGATCATCTATTTTGCTTATTGCTTGGGACAAATTCAATCTCATTGATTTACATAGGGCCGTGACCTATATTCCCTTTGGCAAACTATTTTCCATTTCTCTCGCCGTCTCACAGCCAGCCAGTTTCATTTCCTTTTATTATTTCCTCGCACCCATGGAGCAGCAGTGAGCTGATTGGCGAGGAGTGGGCTGGTTGGGAATAATACTGCGACATGTTTGGCTTGCTGCTGTGCGTATTATATTTTCTACGAAGTACAGGTTTTCCTTTAAACATACACGAGCGTCCAATACTTTCAATTTTCATCCATAATTTTGATAGATTTTTTATGGTACAATGCTTTTCTTTCACGTTTCTATTTTTTCTTTTTTTACAAAGATAAGTCAAAATATATGTTACAACCGGGAAGAGGGTGATCCTATTGTTAAAAATAAATTAAAATAATAAAATAAATTTTTGTTGAATAAGACCTCGTTTTTGAGAAAAAGAACTTAGAAAATTATTCGAATACGGGGGCATTTGAGTGATATTTGACGTTACGGTCGAGGTTACGGTTTTTGCTATAAACATTTTGTATGGTTTGTTTATTATTAGAAGTAACTAATTCAGTCAATTGACTTTTTAGATAAACGAGTGAATTTATGTGAGATAATAAAAATAATTTTATTTTTTACACATGTATTTCTTACATATTTAGTTGGATTATTATATTGAAAATATTGACCGTTTTGTCATTTTGCATATGCAAAGTTGTATTCTGCGAATTAAGTTAGAATGGATTATTTGTAACGTATTTTATCCTTTTAATTCTTCAAATTTAAGAATAATTTTTTATTTAATTGTTCAAGGGGTCTTTTTTCGTTCTTTTTCTCGAAAATAAGGCATTATTAGAAAAAAACTTATTCTATTTCGACTTACTTTCAGCTATAAAATCACTTCTTTCTCGATTGTATTATCTACTCTATATACAATTTAATATACAATTAAAAAAATAATGTAAAATAGCATAGTGACGTTATTTTCGCGCAATAAAAAAATTGATGGTTTTTTTATTTACGTAAAGAATATATAAAAAATCGGAATAATAGAAATACGAAGAATAAATAATATATAAAGAATAGGAAGTACAAAGGAAAAATTGCAGGAACGTTTTGCTATTCACATAGCTTTGTTGAGTCAAATAGAAAGTAAACTAAAACTGAAATACAAAATTCGTTAAAAAACAATGTTCGAATGTAAAAAGGAACAGCATTGGAATCAACGATGGATTAGGTTTATCCGATCGATCCGACTAAGTTAAGGCAAATTGTTGAGTAAAATATTACATTAAATATCCAATAAATTTTCTACAAAATCCACATTTGTTAAAAAATGAGAACGGAAGATATATTTTGCAGTAATCGATACAACGGCCATCGTTTATTGAGTATACCTTCGGGAAACGTTTTTGAGTATTTTTTAGATATCTTTATTAAAACATTCCGTTGATCAACAAAGAACGAATACATCGAAGGAATATTTTATGTCTCTTGAGGCACAGAGAAAAATCGTATAATAAAGATTCTGATATGTCTGCAATGCCATGTTTGATCTTCTTTATCCGCCATTAGTGACGCGAATATAGTGTATTAATAAAAAAAGCAATATTAGTTTTTCAGGGTACAAAGCAAGCGGGAAATCGGAATAGTGGAATATCTGAATGCCGAATTGCGCGGCATGAAAAATAAGCGAGTTTCTGCGCTTGCTCATCGTTGTTTTGTCTAGCACAAAGTAAACGATAGCGTAAATAGAAAAGTGGACAAGCTAAACGAAGATGGCGAGATAGGCAGAAACGGTTGAATCGATTCGCGAACAGTCGAGTCGTGCCGACTGCACAGTCCACTGGTCAGAAGAGGCTTTGGTGCCTGCTTGCTTTGACGATAGTTTTTAGAAGTCGGAACCGTTCTGCTTACCGGCCGTGTAATCTTCGGATCACTGATTCGGAAATATATCTTCGATTCATAGTGGTCGTACTTTCCAATTCTGTGTAGTATTTTTCATCTCATCGAATAAGCTCGTTGACTGTAATTCTCTTGATTAGTCATGTCTTCTCTCGCTGAACATTATGCCGATATTTGCGCCACGTAATATCGTGAATATTTATTGCGTTGTACGTCAACACGTAATAGCAAAATATGCATGAATTGTTTGCATTTTATAGATATTATTAAAAGATGTATGACTATAATCTCTTCGAAAACATATAAAAATGTTAAATATTCTTCTCTCGCCTATATTCTCTCATGTCTATTGTCGAGAGCATCTCAAAAACGAATATTAAGTACGCTTAATATTCTACAATAATGCGGAAATTACTGAATAAAACGTGATAAATTTACCTGGAAGAAGATTTCAATAAATTCGATACCTTCAGGCATTGCTCTCGAATCGAGGAGAGAGACTCGCGATACCGAAAGATTGAAATTTCTATTCTAGGAGCGATGAAGAGGAATACGTTAAACCCAACGATCTGTAAGCGTTTCAACATTCTTAGGAAGCGGTGAAGTTAGTGAAAAAAGCTTTGGCGACCTAACATCATAAAAAAAAAGAACTTTTTTTGCGAGTTAAGTAAAATTGACTTATCGAGTTGAAAACTTTATAAAAATCGGCCGTGAAGAATGATTGAAAAATTCTGTTCGTGTTCAACCATAAACGGATTTTACGAATGAATGATTTGAAAAATTATGAAATTCGGCCAAAAGTTGCGTGAGATTACATATATAAGAACTTTAATCTAATATAGAATAGATAGTTATTTTCTAATATAAAATTCTTCTAATTTAGACTGTACTTTACTTGAATCTTTAAGGATATCTTTTTCAATGACTTACAAATTACCTTTTAAAAATAGCTTTGATGTTTGGCAACGACAGAATAAATTTCTTTCATCCGCGACACTCGTAGCTTTTGAAATATTTTTCTCTTTCTGCGTATCACGCATTGGTCTCACATATCGTCGTCCTCTCGCATCACTGTTCGATATTCCCTCTGGTTTTCGGAACTCGGCACAGATAATCAGCGTAACACGATTTGTTTTTCCACGTCCGTGCCGCAATCCCAGTTCAGTCGATGTCTTTAGCGGAGATTTGAAAAAACCCGTTGGAATTGAACGAAACGCGAGAGACCCGCGGGATAACGAGGGAATTGCATTAGAGCGCGACTGTACACGCGCGTGAGAAAGATTGTGCCGTTGTAACTTCCGTTCGT